GGGGGGAGGTGGGGGGGGGGGGGGGGGGGGGGGGGGGGGGGGGGGGGGCTTAAGTCTATTTAAATTCGTTGGATTATCGCGATAAAGCTGGGGTAAATATGTGTGTTTGTGTGTGTGTGTGTGTGCGTGTGCGTGTTATGATGAGTGCGGTAGTGTTTTTTCACATTCGAAAACCTGAGGAAATAACAAAATATGATAAAGTTGAGAGATGAAACTTCTGGTTTAGACAGACAGTTCAGACAGTTCAGACAGTTCAGACAGTTCAGACAGTTCAGACAGTTCAGACAGTTCAGACAGTTCATAAAATTCATTCCGCCTAGAAGATAATGTTCCACTTTTCATTTTAATTAATACAATTGAATACAGAAAGTTGATCCATTAAAAAAAAAAAAGCAACTTTAAGTATAAAATGTAAATATTTTAAATTAGAATTGTACGTTGTTGTTAACAGATTTTAGGAGTCGAGACTTTATATACTGTTTCTGTCAATTTGAGGATAATTCTACCGGTCTAAAGTGCACACGACCGTCTGAGCGCCTTCACTGCGCCTTGTTCCGGTTCCTATGCATCAGTCGTTACGGTCGTGCAAAGACATCGACAATGGTTGTTCGTCATGGTGCACACTTTACACAATTTGTACCCGCTAGTAGTGCAGCAATCTATTTTACTTAAGGGTTGGGGGGGGGGGGCACAGAAACACTGTAAGTTCTATACAACATGGACACTGTTATGACACCGTAATGAAATATTTTGACAGGAAGCCGCGAAGCAGACGTGAAAACAAGTTCGTGCTCGAAGTGATCTTCGAGAGCTTCAAAAAGGAATCTTTACAATTAATTATAGAACTAATTTTCTACTCATCGTAGATGTAAGTATACCACCCCCCCCCCCAACCCACCCACACACCCAACTCGCACCCGACTTATTGTAATTAACCTGAAGGTCACAACTTGCTTATAACCTGTTTAACGGCGTGACCTAGTAAGACTTAGTATGTCGGCCAGCTCTATCTTCTCCTATGGTTGTTTAAAAAAAAAAAAAAATTATGACCAATTGCTTCTCCGTTGGCATCACCAACCCCGGCCAAGACGCCTCATTGGTCCAAGAAGTAGGGTGAGTCTAAATAAGAGTGCCCAATTATGAACTGGAAAAAACGGGACACACCCAAAGAGGGTTTGCGGTGATTACCCTCCAGCTGAAGAGGGGTCCGGGGGGCCTCCGCCGAAAACTGTTTAGGGAAATATGTTCATTTGAACTGTTTTGAGACCTAGAAATCTTTTTTTAAATTTACCTTTACTTTTTTAAATTTAATTTAAACTCTGGGGCATATCATAAACGAAAACAATAATTTTGCAGCGTCGGCAGAGTGGTGGAGGGGGGAACACTGCAGCCATCACGCGAGCCCACATCACTACTGGCACTGGCTACACGGCTAGCCAAAATATTACTTGAAGTTTTATTATAAATTGGTGAGTTCAGAGGCGTAGCGATTGGGGGAGGGGCAGGGGGGACAGATGTCCCCGGGCGCAAGCTAGTTAGGGGCGCCAAAATGTGATTTGATATTACATTATTGGTAGAAATAATGGGTTTGAGAGTTGGAAAAAAGAAAAGGGGGCGCTTTAAAATGGATCTTGTCCCCGGGCGCCAAACACCCTCGCTACGACACTGGGTGAGTTTTAGTGATTTGAAAATGTGTTAAGTTTTAGAAACGGGACATTTAGGCGTCCCGAGAGACTTTTTCGGGACACCGGGTACGATCGTGAAAAAAACGAGACAATCCCGATTTTAAGGGACGTCTGGTCACCCTAGTCTAAATAGAACAAGACGCACGCTTTAAATTAAAACAGCAAGTTGGTCAGACTTCAAGGGCCAGCACTGACACGCTGTGCGCGCGGGTCTCGCGGCCGTCAGTGATGTGGGTTGGTCACAGTTCAGAGGACACTTTAGCGGCAACGCGAGGCCCGTGGACATCTTAAAGGGGGAAGATCAGTCTTCTCGTTAGTTCTAGGTTTCTCCCCAAGTGATGGCGCGCATCAATAGATTCACCTGGAGATATATGCCAAAGATCGTACTTGAAGGTATGTCATCACACCAACAAAAAAAAAAAAATGTATGTCATTTTACCAGAAGCATTGCATTCGAGCCAGAGGGTAGGTCATTTCACCAGTGAGTAGGTCTTTTCACCAGTGCGTAGGTCGTTCTGAAACATTAAACTTTTAAAGGTGTTCATTTAAAAACAAACGGTTTTTCTAAAAAACGCGTGGGGCAACATAGGTGGTAACGGATTTGGGGGGGGGGGGCGCGGGCACGAGGGACGACAAAGCTGGTAGATGACTGGGGCAACATAGGTGGTAGATGACTGGGGCAACATAGGTGGTAGATGACTGGGGCAACATAGGTGGTAGATGACTGGGTCAACATAGGTGGTAGAAGATTGGGGCAACACCGCTGGTAGAAGAGTGGGGCAGCATAGCTTTAGAAGAATGGAGCAACATAGTTGTAGAAGAGAAGGGTAACATACATGGTTGAAGAGCGGGACATACATTTTAATAAATAGATACATTTAAAAAAAAAATTATTTTATACAATTTTTTCCAAACCAAACCCTTTCTCGCACACGATGGGCACACCCCAGAATGTCGCTGCACACGCGTGCAATTTACTCTGTAACATATGATTGGGAAATTGCACGATAATATCCCTTCTGCCCATGGGCGTCCGCAGGGGGGGGGCAAGGGGGGCACTTGCCCCCCACCCCCTGGATTGATTGGATAACATTTTTTTAGACAAAAATAGAGAAAAAATGTATTAAAGTAAAGAGAAAATAAAGAGAAAGTAACTAAGCTGATGTCCTGTCCGTTCGTTCACCATACAAATACGCTACAATAAATTAAAACTACATTAAAACATTACTAAAAAATGTTTGCCCCCCCTCCCCCCCCTAGAAAGTTTTCTGCGGGCGCCCATGCTTTTGCCCCTTTCCTTCTATCTGTAAGGCTGCAATAAGTCAATGATCGCCCCTTGTGCATTTTAATGTATTAAACGTTTTTGTTGTTGTTGTTGTTGTTCTGTCTTGAGAAAATGTTGTTCTTGTTTTGGAGGAGGTCTTTTCAAAATGATTTTGAATATTTATTTTTTTTGTTTTTTTTTTTGGGGGGGGGGGGGGGGGGTTTTTTTTTTTTTTTTTTTTTTTTTTTTTTTTTTTTTGTAATAAAACTTTTATTTAAAGGATAACAAAATGTTTAATGTTCTTTTTTTTTTTTTTTTTAGCTTTATCTAGCGGTTAAAATTTTGTTTTCATGAACAATTTGTAAATGTGTTGGCGATGGTTGGAAATCTGTACATCAATAGCATTGTGGCCAAGTTGGCTAAATAAGACAGTACATGTTAGCCTCAGGTTGCTTTAGACGCTTAAGCATAGTGGGTGGAAAGAAAGAAAGAAAGAAAGAAAGAAAGAAAGAAAGAAAGAAAGAAAGAAAGAAAGAAAGAAAGAAAGAACGAAAGAAAGAAAGAAAAAAAGAAAGAAAGAAAGAAAGAAAGAATAGAAAGAAAGAAAGAAAGAAAGAAAGAACGAAAGAAAGAAAGAAAAAAAGAAAGAAAGAAAGAAAGAAAGAAAGAAAGAATAGAAAGAAAGAAAGAAAGAAAGAAAGAAAGAACGAAAGAAAGAAAGAAAAAAAGAAAGAAAGAAAGAAAGAAAGAAAGAATAGAAAGAAAGAAAGAAAGAAAGAAAGAAAGAAAGAACGAAAGAAAGAAAGAAAAAAAGAAAGAAAGAAAGAAAGAAAGAAAGAATAGAAAGAAAGAAAGAAAGAAAGAAAGAAAGAAAGAACGAAAGAAATTTTCTAGTTTCTCTGATCTTTGCACTGCTCAGTTTCAGGCGGGTGTCCATCTGTGAATGTGACGTGCTGGAGACACCAGCACACCCAACAGAAGAGCTCCTCCTCAGCGGAGTTCAGCGAGCCGAAGATCGTCACACAAGTGCCCGGGCCGAAGACGAAAGAGCTCTCCAAACGTCTCGGCCAATATCAGGTTTGTGATGGGCTGGAGATTTTGCAATGTGAGATTTAAATATAGTTGGCTTGTGATTGCATGGCTGATTTTTTAATTTTTTTTTTACTTTGAGTTATCTAGTTATAAGCTTATGATGTTTTCTTTTTTTAAAACTAAAAATGAATGAAACGTGAGAATGTTGCAAATGTTTTTTTTTAACACTAAATTGACCAGCATCAGTGAAAAGAAAACACTACAAAAAACATAATTAGAAGTACTAGGAATAGTGAGATCCATCTCCTGACTGTGTTGAAACAGCCCCAACCCCCCCCCCCCCCACACACACACAGACACACACTTCCCGATTTTTTTAGCCGGCTTCTTTATAACGCATATTTATTTTCTATATTCATATTGATCGTCCACGCTGTAGACCAGTTTGAATCCTCAAAGATGTGTCCACGGCGGCCATGATGTTACACGTCAACAAGGTCTAAAACAAAAATGGCGGACAATGTATCAGAGAAAATGTCACGAATCACTTAAATTCTACTAACGTTCTTGTAAAATTCTGTATCTAACGTCATTGTCACGTGACCGTTTCTCTCTCTCTCCCCCCCCCCATACAGAACATTGATGCCGTCCACTTCTTTGTGGACTATGAACGATCTCGTGGTAACTATGTTGTGGACGTGGATGGGAACATTCTGCTGGACATGTTCACACAGATAGCCTCAATACCCCTAGGTAATGTTGACAGACTCAATACCCCTAGGTAATATTGACAGACTCAATACCCCTAGGTAATGTTGACAGACTCAATACCCCCAGGTAATGTTGACAGACTCACTACCTATAGGTCATGTTGACAGACTCACTACCTCCAGGTCATGTTGACAGACTCACTACCTCTAGGTCATGTTGACAGACTCACTACCTCTAGGTCATGTTGACAGACTCACTACCTCCAGGTCATGTTGACAGACTCACTACCTCTACGTCATGTTGACAGACTCACTGACCCTAGGTAATGTTGACAGACTCACTATCCCTTGGTAATGTTGACCACGGGCGAGGCAATGATTTTCCCAAGATCAAGAATGAAAGGGGGGTTGAATGAAATAACTATCCACTACGTAACAAGGTCACTAACGCCACCAGGTGGCGTTGATTTCCCTAAACATAATTCCTGCTAACTGCGCTAAATGACATTCTGAAAAATATCTTCTATTTTTAAAAAAAAAATTATAATTTTTGTTTTAATTCTTAAAAATATCGCATGCGCGTTTGATGCGTGATATTTTCTGTCGTTTTACGGTAATAGAATCACGTGACCTCTAGTGCTGTAAATCTGTGGCGTAACGAAGTGTGGGATCAGGGGGCGGGGGCGCACCGGGGGGGGGCATAATTGGGGACTTCGTAACGTGCATTACTTCAATTCCCGTTTTGTCCAGCAACTGTCGCAGATGGGGAAATTGGTTTGGTGGGCTTTAGCTGGCATGCGTAAGAAATACCACTGGGGTGGAGGGGTATGTAGATCTGGAGTCATTTTATTGGCACCCTTTCGTAATTTAAAATATCGCGCCCTTCTTTTTTTTTTCTCCCCCCCCCTTCCCCCTCCCCTCCCTGGGATTGTGGGTTGAGGGCCATTAATTAATAGATGACATCATTCAAAAACTTACTTTACTATACACATTATTCCATAATCATCTATTTCATTTAAAGCCCATCATGTCAGTGATTGTCTTACTCCGATTCTCTTTTCGTCAGGCTACAACCATCCCAGGTTAATCGCTGCAATGTCAGATCCCAAAAATTTGGTGAGTCACGTCCCCTTGTTCAATCTTCAAACTAGCAGCACGCACATTATGTCATGTCTTCTTCTTCTATATCTTAAGGGCCCACGATCAATTTATTGATCATTTTGGCTCCTATGCATGTAGATGGGATTTGCAATGTTTCTGTTCCTGGTGTTGATGAGGAAATCATGCACAATGGGTTTGAAGGCTGGAGGCAATAGACACAAATGTGTCTAGTGTTTTCGCCCCAACCGTTCCTTTTGAAAGATTGTTCCAGTCCCTGATTGTCTTGGGCAGGAATGAGCAGCTCCTATACTGGCTTCTTGCTGGTAGGAGCCTGAATTGCCTGTCATGGCCTTACTTTTGGGTTATGACATAATTTCATGGGCTGATTAAGGCCCCTGGGGGGGGGGGTCAGACTTGTCGAATACGTCACTTTAGAATTCTACTATAATTATTTTTATTTATTGGTTATTAGGTTTTATGTTATTATATTTTTTGAATATATGTGCGTGTGTGTGGTGGGTTGGGGGGGGGGTGGGGGGAGTGGGGGTCACCCGACCGTCCACAAGAGACGAATGTTTTAAACTGCAAGTTACAGAACTGTGAGGACCGGGGCAAGGTGGGTTTTTTTTATGGAGAATCAGCGATTTCCCATTCAGCCGATACCACCCCACCCAACAACTTTTTTTTCTTTTCTTTTTTTTTTTACTTCCGCGCAGCTGATGAATGCAAGGGAATGTATAAGATTAATTAAAATCCTTCTCTTCTGTCGACTCTTCTCGTCTAAAGCTTTTAATGACATGCCTTTGTGATGAACCATATTGATTATATCTATAGTCATAAAACAATTCACGAGCCAACATTTTAATCACAAAACAACCACATAGAATAGTTACTATTACCATCCAACGAAGCGACTCCCAATGCGCCCCCTCCCCACTAGGATCACTTTAGAGGTGCCCAAAAAAAAAATACGAGTGAGACGTCACCGTTACATTTCTATCTCATGTTAAGAGAGGAACGCGCCCAACGACCAGAGAAGAGAGAATTTAACTCTTCTAGCATGGTTAACACGTCAGACATTTCACGCTCAAACTTTTAAAGATTTACACCAGTGACACCCCCCCCCCCCCCGGTGCCGATGGCGCTCACCACTCTTGTTGCCATTTTTTGTTTTTGCGTCAGAGAAGAGAGAATTTAACTCTTCTAGCATGGTTAACACGTCAGACACTTCACGCTCAAACTTTTAAAGATTTACACCCGTGACCCCCCCCCCCCCCCGGTGCCGATGGCGCTCACCACTCTTGTTGCCATTTTTTGTTTTTGCGTCCGCAGACAAGCTTCATCAACAGGCCTGCTCTGGGAAGTTACCCGTCTGAAGACTTTGTAGACAGACTTGAGAAAAGTCTGCTGTCGGTGAGTACAGACATGCTCGGTGAGTAGCGGTGGAGTGTTGACTAGGCCAACACACAACATCCGGTGAGGTTGTGGGGGGTGGGTTTTAAAGGCCAAAATTAACATTGAAATAAGCGCAACTTTTTCGTAGCGCGTGTAAAAATAATTGCCTCAACTTGAAGTGCGCCTATTTTGTAATGTATTTATCTCCCCCCTCCCCCCCCCCAGTGGCGCCACCCGGACTGCGTCACGTACAGACAGCTGGTTGCGGGACCTGCTCCAATGAGAATGGTCAGAAGGCGATTTTCATGGCGTACCAGGTCAGTATCAACAATCTGTGTGACATGAATGTTTGATATATGTCAGTTATATGTGACCACATCCATTCGTTGATATGTTAACGTTTCAGTAGCTCTATTCATTCACCGCATGTTCATATATTTTTTTATAATATATTATATACACTAATTTAAATGTAAAAAAAAAAAATGTAAGCTATTTGAAGATGTCTTAAAATGCAGCTAGAAAGCCAAATGGCGTAACAAAGGGGATATTGCCCCCTTGAGCTAGCGACCCACGATAAGCCACTGAACCAATCCCATTTTGTTTTTGCTTTTTTGTTTGTTTTGGTAACCCGTTTGTTGTTGCTGCTGCTGCTAGTTTCAAAGGTTTCACGACAGAAGCTTGGATCCAACAGGTGAACTATTTTCTGCCGCTAAGAGACATTGACGGGTTCCCGTTCCCACTGCCGTTCCCAATACAGGCCTGCAATGATTTATTCTTGTTACAAGATGACAGCTGAATGCAAGAATTGTATTATTCTAGCGGTGGTTCTCAACTCACCAGCAAGGCAATGATGGTGCTCAATCATAAAATATTTTTGTAAACATATTTTCACTTGTTTGATGCGCAGCCTTTGAGAAGTCAGCGCGCGAAAGCGTGTGTTTAATGGAAAAAGAAATATGCATTCAGAATAAATATCTTACATTTAGGATTTATAAGTTTTGGAGAGACACGAAAATTATTAACGAATAAAATTGAATGTGGTTTTTTTTGGTGTTTTGTTTTTTTACAAAATCATTTATAATGACTTCGATTTTGTGTTTTTAAGGCAAAATCTTCTGCTAAGCGACGCACTCTCCGGTCAGGCCATCGAGCAGAAACCTGGCACGGAGATTCGTTGCCGATGACACCATATCCTATCAAATGTTCAGCCCCCACCTCCCCCAACCAAAAAAACTGTTTATCGAGGAGAAGATGAATGAATTATGATGACATCGAGTTCACTAAATAAAATTTCCGATAACTGCGCTAGATAAGAATCAATTTTTTAAATTTTTTTTTAAATTATTTTTTTTATTTTATTATTTATATATTTTTTTTTCATTATTTTTTTTTTTAAGTATTTATATTTTTTTAAGTTATTTATTTATTTTTTTATTATTTATATTTTTTTAAATTATTTATTTAAAAAAAAAAATATTTATATTTTTTTTAAAATTGCACGTGCAGTAGGTGCGTAAAATTTGCCTTTTGTTTTTGTCTCAAGCGGTGAAATAAATCTGCGGCGTAAAACTAGCAGGTGGATCATTCGAATATTGATAGAGTTCAGGGGCGTGGGAAAAAAAATGTGTGGTTGCGAGCCTTGGGGAAGGGGGCACCAATTGGAATGCTTAAAAAGTGCGTTACCTGTATGCGTTACCTGTATGCGTTACCTGTATGCATGTTTTGTCAAATTTTCAGCCCCCTCGCCCCCCCCTTTTTTTTTCCCCCTCACCATAACATTTTACAAAGGATTTTTATTCATCTTTCAATCACGTCGGGGGGGGGGGGGGGGGGGTGGATTTTTCTTTCCGAAAAATGGGGGGGGGGGGGGTGGGGGGGGCATTGTTCATTCCGAAAAAAGGGGGGGGGGTTGGTTGTGTTCTAAACAAGTTGTAAAACCCCGCATTATAAAAGGGGATTTCCCATAGTTTCTAGATAAACGTTGGAACAGAGTTCAATATATTTTAATTGCTTAAAAGGGCTTAAGCCAAAAGATGGCCGACCTGATAACCTTGCTAACGTTCTGAATTATTTCAGCGCAGGGTCAGAGGTCACAGGCCGCCAACAGAAGAAGAGAAGACTTCAAGTTTGATGAACCAGCTGCCAGGGAGTCCCAAACTTTCATTCCTGTCCTTCAAAAATGGTTTTCATGGCCGCTGCATGGGTGAGTTGGAACACGCGGGCCCCGAGGTTGAGAGCCCCTGTTGAGGAGTTACGCTTTCACCTTTATAATTGATTTTTGCGGCGTTATACTTAATGTCAGTGACAGGTGGACGATGTCATTTCAGTGCCAGGAAGATGATGTCATGTCAGCGACAGGTAGATGAAGTCATGTCATTGAAAGGTAGACGAGATCATGTCAGTGACAGGTAGACGATGCCATGTTGTTGTTTGGTTGACCCTTGACCCATCAACATCCCGAGTTCACTGACGCGTATCCCTTGTGCCAACAGGTGCCCTGGCGATGAGTCACGCCAAGTGGTTCCACAAACTGGACTTCCCCGTGCCCGACTGGCCAGTGGCGACTTTTCCCCGCCTCAAATATCCACTGGATGAGTTCACCAGGGAGAACGATCGGGAGGAGCAGACTTGTCTTGACGAGGTGAGGGTACACAGGTGTGTGGATGTGTGTACTCGTCTTGACAATGTACACAGGTGTGTGGATGTGTGTACTCGTCTTGACAATGTACACATATGTGTGTATACGTGTACTCGTCTTGGCGAGGCAAGGTTACACAGGTATGTGTGTATGTGTACGTGTCTTGAAGAGGTGAGGTACACAGGTGTGTATGTGAACTTTATTGTTCTGCAACAAATTTCTGTGTCTGTCGTGGTTTAGTTTTTTTTCCCCCTGGGCTGTCCATGTTATTGTTGCTGTCCATGTTATTGTTGCTGTCCATGTTATTGTTGCTGTCCATCTTATTGTTGCTGTCCATGTTATTGTTGCTGTCCATGTTATCGTTGCTGTCCATCTTATTGTTGCTGTCCATGTTATTGTTGCTGTCCATGTTATTGTTGCTGTCCATGTTATTGTTGCTGTCCATCTTATTGTTGCTGTCCATGTTATTGTTGCTGTCCATCTTATTGTTGCTGTCCATGTTATTGTTGCTGTCCATGTTATTGTTGCTGTCCATGTTATTGTTGCTGTCCATCTTATTGTTGCTGTCCATCTTATTGTTGCTGTCCATGTTATTGTTGCTGTCCATGTTATCGTTGCTGTCCATCTTATTGTTGCTGTCCATCTTATTGTTGCTGTCCATGTTATTGTTGCTGTCCATTTTATTGTTGCTGTCCATCTTATTGTTGCTGTCCATGTTATTGTTGCTGTCCATGTTATTGTTGCTGTCCATCTTATTGTTGCTGTCCATGTTATTGTTGCTGTCCATGTTATTGTTGCTGTCCATGTTATTGTTGCTGTCCATGTTATTGTTGCTGTCCATGTTATTGTTGCTGTCCATCTTATTGCTGTTGATGTTATTGATGATGTCCATGTGATTGTTCATGTTAATTTTAATGCTTGATGTCCTAACTTATTGTTGTTGTCCATCTTAGTGCTGCTGTCCTAACGTATTGTTGGTGTCCATCTTAGTGCTGCTGTCCTGGCCAAGCCACATCCAAGCTACTTTCCGCCATTGGCTTCTTTCAACTTTGTCATTCCCGATCAGAATAATACCTAACTTATTCATTCTTTAAAGGCCGCACTTAACCATTGGAAGGGACATATGCAGCACTCTGTTCGGGAGACCGTTGAGTTAAAACTATGTTTACAAAGCTAAAGCCACCATTGTTACTCAACGTGTCATTAAAGGTATCACCATATTTGTGATTCCCTTCAAGGTACGAGATCTGATCGCTAAGTACAAGAGGCGGGGAGAACCTGTGGCGGGAGTTTGTGTGGAGCCGATACAGGCCGAGGGGGGAGATAACCACGCAAGCGCCAGCTTCTTTCAAGGACTTCAAAACATCTGCAAAGAGGTTGATCAAATTTTCGCTCAAATTTTATTATCCTGGTTGGTTGGCAATGAATTCTGTTCGTGCTACGTTTCTTATATGCAAAATTATTGGAATAGTTCACAGCTTTGTATGAGATGAATTTTAGAAAAATCTGTTGATTGGTTGATGGGACAGCCTAGCATCCAAAGTGAAAAATTATGCAATCAGTGCCTGGCTTCGCCGTTCTAAAGGGATGATTAACTTAAAGCGTGAAGCTGTGGGGGGGAAAAAAAAAGAACTATATATTTTTAAAAATAGGTTTGTGTCAGTAAGGTTTATAAACATTAAATAAATGTTTTTTGTGTTTTTTTTTTTAAATGCCATCACTTTTAATTTTTGTGTGCGGGTTCTCCATTGTTGTTGTAGTGTGTTGTCATTCCATTGTACAGCGTGTGGGGGCGTTTGCACACGTTCTTAGCTGAGCTGGAACGCTGGAGTCCAGTCTGTATTATTTTGAGTCCAGACTGTACAAATATTAGTCCAGTCAGAATTATTTTGAGTTCAGTCTGTACTAGTCTGAGTCCAGTCTGTATTATTTTGAGTCCAGTCTGTACTAGTCTGAGTCCAGTCTGTATTATTTTGAGTCCAGTCTGTACTAGTTGAGAGAGTCAAATATTAAATCACTGATACACATAACATGAATGATAATTATTCTTACTTATTTCCCCCCCCCCCCCCCCAGAGTGGAGCTTATCTGATGCTAGACGAGGTACAGACCGGATGTGGCGTCACGGGGAAATTTTGGGCCCATGAGCATTTTAACTTGAGCCGCCCTGCAGACGTCGTCACGTTCTCTAAGAAAATGTTGTCGGGTGGCTTTTACTTCACGGAGGATCTCAAACCAACAGAGGTGGGCCGTCTTGACAAATTAATGTTACTAGCACTTAACAACCATTTTGGAATGAGCCTACCACCGTCAACAAGGTTGATGGACCATGGGGGTGAATAGAACGTGGACGAATTGAAAATAGTAAAGATGGGTGTTCTATGAAAAAGTGTGTTTAAATATATATATATATAAATAACTATGGAATGGGACTTCTCAAAGTGATCACGTGACTTATAGAGTTCAAGTCCATGTATTCTTTCAACCCAAATGATTTCAAATGTTGCCATAAAACTATCCAATAAACACGTGATAGGTTGAGCCAATGAAATGTTTCTTCAGATCTGCCGTCTCTCCAACAGGGTTATAGAATCTACAGCACGTGGATCGGCGACCCGTCTAAACTTGTTCTGCTGGAGGAGGTCATCGAGGAGGTCAAACAGGAAAAACTCACCGACAACGCCGTTCAGGTGGGGACTGTACTGCTCAGTGGACTCAAGGAGCTGCAGGTGAGTGGTGTCTTTACAGGTGTGATGATGACAAAGTGAGTACCGATGGCCACGCTAGCTTTGCCCGGACACATATAAGTAACAGTTTTGACAGGTGAGTTTTGTCTGGCCAGATGAATGTTCTCGGGAAAGGTGGGTGTTGTCTGGACAGGTAGGTGTTGTCTGGACAGGTGATTTTTGTTTGGACAGGTGAGTTTTGTCTGGCCAGATGAGTGTTCTCGGGAAAGGTGGGTGTTGTCTGGACAGGTAGGTGTTGTCTGGACAGGTGATTTTTGTCTGGACAGGTGAGTTTTGTTTGGACAGGTGAGTTTTGTCTGGCCAGATGAGTGTTCTCGGGAAAGGTGGGTGTTGTCTGGACAGGTAGGTGTTGTCTGGACAGGTGAGTGTTGTCTGGACAGGTGAGTTTTGTTTGGACAGGTGAGTTTTGTCTGGCCAGATGAGTGTTCTCGGGAAAGGTGGGTGTTGTCTGGACAGATTCGTGCTGTCTGGACAGGTGAGTGTTGTCTGGACAGGTGAGTGCTGTCTGGACAGGTGAGTGCTGTCTTGACAGGTGAGTGTTGTCTGGACAGGTCTTACATCCTACCGTTGCAATGGGTAGTAAACGTTGGGTTTAATCCTTAAGAAGTAAACAAACAACTAGAAATATCAGGGACAATTCATGTCATGTCATTTTCTGTGGCCCATAGGTCAACATGTTGTCTATGGCCCGCTGGTCATCATGTTTTCTGTGGTCTATTGGTCATCATGTTTTCTGTGGTTCATTGGTCATTATGTTCAACGTGTTTTATGTGGCCCATTAGTCATCATGTTTCCTGTGGCCCACTGGTCAAAATGTTTAAATGTTGGTATTTAGGCTTAAACTTTGGACCATAAAAAAGCCAAAAGCTAAAAAAGTTTAACCAACTTTTATCCCATTAGTCTACAGAAATGATTTCATGCCATCCACAGGACATCTACCCTCAGCTGTTGAAGAATGCTCGCGGCCTAGGGACATTTTGTGCAGTGGACTTTCCTACAGCAGATATACGGGACAAAGTTGTCTCCAAACTTCGAAATAAAGGTGCGTTGTGTGTCAAGATTTGTTTGGCCAACATTTGCTGTGTGGCTCAGGGTTATTGTTTGGCCAACATTTGCTGTGTGGCTCGGGGTTAATGTTTGGCCAACATTTGCAGTGTGGCTCAGGGTTACTGTTTGGCCAATATTGGTTGCGTGCAGGGGCGTAGGACGAATGGAGGGGGGTCCATCCAGGGTGGCACTTTTCTCTTTTCGGCCTAATGCGTCGTCTTTTTTTCACGGAGGAAGTAGGCACAAATCTTGGCCGGCCCCCGCGGCGTCCCCAACCCTAGCTACGCCACTGGTTGCGGGGCCTCGGTCTGTGGTAAGGCCAAAGGTCATACAGTGTCACTATTCAGAAGCCCATTTGAGTCCTACAATGGATTGACTCTAGCTGTATTTTCCTTCCCCAGGTGTCAACACTGGAGGCTGCGGTGTCTCCTCTCTACGTCTGAGGCCCAGTTTGGTGCTTCAAAAGCCTCACGCGGAGCTTTTCCTCAACGTCTTCAACTCTGTGTTGTCGGAGACCAGGTAGCACTAAAAGAAAACACAGACCTTGGATAACAACAGGACTTTGGATACCTTTTGTGTCTCTTAAGTATGTGTGTTCATAAAAGTTGGCTTCGAGGCAGTATCTGACATTGGAGAATCGCCAATCAATGTTTAACAACCCTTTAGGATTCTTGCCTGTATCCTCATGCGTTTGGGTGTTAAATATAACTCATGTTTGCGTGTTAAATATTAACTCATGTTTGTGTGTTAAATATTAACTCATGTTTGTGTGTTTAATATTAACTCATGTTTGAGTGTTAAATATTAACTCATGTTTGCGTGTTAAATATTAACTCATGTTTGTGTGTTAAATATTAACTCATGTCTGCGTGTTAAATATTAACTCATGTTTGGTGGTTAAATATTAACTCATGTCTGCGTGTTAAATATTAACTCATGTTTGGTGGTTAAATATTAACTCATGTTTGTGTGTTAAAAATTAACTCATATTTGCGTGTTAAATATTAACTCATGTATGCGTGTTAAATATTAACTCATAGACAAATAAAATGTACCAGCACCATTACATTTTCATATATTTTAAAATCATAATCTACTTTGTGTTTAAAACTAAGCACCAGCAGTGGTATCATACACAATATCTGATAACTTACCAGCTTCTGACTGAATTTATTGACTGTAACCAACTGTAGACCACTAAACAAAAAATACCCATGCCTCCGTACTATTAAAATCCACATCAAATGGCCTTACACTCTAAACAAATACCCTATGTGACATAACATCATGCTGACAGTAATGACATCATGCTGACCGTAATGACATCATGTTAACAATAATGACATCATGTTAACAATGATGACATCATGTTAACAATGATGACATCATGTTAACAATAATGACGTCATGTTAACAATAATGATGCCAAATTAAGCCGAACGGTGGAAAAGTGTATCAATTATCTAGGTCAGCGTTTCTCAAATTGTGGTACAGGAAGAGCTTGATGGGGGGACGCGCCGCAGAGGAAAAAATAAATAACTTTTGATAACTAATAAAGTACATGTATATGCAATTTTTTAAAGGGGGGGGGGGTGGGAGGGAAGAGATACTCAGTGTTACGAAACGTATAGACAGGGGTACACGGGTATCGAAAGTTTGGGAAACACTGATCCAGTACAATTACTAGCTGTAAACAGATGTTTGGACAGCCCTGAATAACATTACTTCTGTTACAATGACTGAAGTGTAAGTAACGGATCCATGTGTCCGTACCACCCCAACACAGGCGGCAGTTCATAAACCAGGGGCGTCATTTCAGGTTTTTTTCAGGGTGGGAGGAGGGCGATACCAAAACTTGGTCGGCTTGTTAAGGCGCCACAGTGCATAAAAATTTAAATAAAACCTGCAAATGCAGAGGGGGATGTGGGGGGCAAATGCCCCCTGCCCTAATGACGAACCTGCATGACAGATCAGAGTCTCCCAAACTTCCGAGTTTGATTGACCAGCAAGAAGGTATCGGACATTGTTGCAGACGAGAGCAGATTGATTATTGATCTCTTAGATACTGTTTAATATTTGACCTTTGCGGAGCACCACTGACCAGCACTGACCTATAGATCCAGTCCATTTGTTTGATGTGTCAAGTGACAGGCGATATAAACCGGTTGATACATCAACACAACTAAAATATCGCTGTCATGTCAATCACGGCTAGACCGAGTGGAATCTTTCCAGACACATACGATAAATGAAACTCAAATTATCAAGTCAACTAATAAATAACAGTCCAATCAAATCATCATTCAATCAGTGGCCAACAGTCAAATCAAGTCATCAAAACAACGAATAAACCTATTTGATCACCAACATACAAGTCCATTTGTCAACCCAACATAAGGCATGGTTGTCTTAAAAATACAATAATGAAACTTATTTACAAAACCTGTTCGCCCCCGAAATCCAAGCGTGGAAAAGAATAGCATCAGTTAGATCGGAGTCGAAAGAAGTAGTGAGGCAGGCCAAAGCCCTACAGGGGCTGTAACGCCACAGGGATGGATGGATTCCCCTCGAGTATAAAAAAACCCAATTAAAACACACAAAAAACAGAACAAAAGCACAGCAAAAACACAACAAAAACACAGCAAAAACACAACAAAAACACAACAAAAACACAACAAAAACCACAACAAAAACACAACAAAAACACAACAAAAACACAACAAAAACACAACAAAGACACAACAAAAACACAACAAAAACTCACAACTAAAACAGAACAAAACACAATTAAAACACAACAAAAACACAACAAAAACACAACAAAAACACGCAACTAAAACAGAACAAAACACAATTAAAACACAACAAAAACACAACAAAAACAAAAACACAACAAAAACACAACAAAGACACAACAAAAACTCACAACTAAAACAGAACAAAACACAATTAAAACACAACAAAAACAAAAACACAACAAAAACAAAAACACAACAAAAACACAACAAAAACACAACAAAAATACAACAAAAACACAACAAAAACACAACAAAAACACACCAAAAACACAACAAAAAAACACATAAAAAACACAACAAAAAAAACACACAACTAAAACACAACAAAAGACAATTAAAACACAATAAAAACACACGACTAAAACACAACAAAACAATTAAAACACAACAAAAACGCAACAAAAACATACAACAAAAACAGAACAAAACACAATTAAAACACAACAAAAACACAACAAAAACACAACAAAAACGCACAACAAAAACACAACAAAAACACAATAAAAACACACAACTAAAACACAACAAAACGCAATTAAAACACAATAAAAACACACAACTAAAACACAACAAAACGCAATTAAAACACACAACTAAAACAGAACAAAACACAATTAAAAGACAAGACTCAGAAATCGAGAGCCATTGAAAAGAGAGCCAACGAACAGAGAGACAATGAACAGAGAGGCATTGAACAGAGAGTCAACGAACAGAGAGGCATTGAACAGAGAGACATGGAACAGAGAGACATTGAACAGAGAGGCAATGAACAGAGAGACCATGAAGATGTAAATGAATATAAGAAGATAGATCATTTCACTAGACGCTTTGTCATCTTACCAGAAGGTCGTTACTTGTAGGTCCCCTTCAAGCTATACTGAGGGTCTCAGTTGCTTCCTCGCTCAAGCCATATGTTGCTCAGCTGTGTAAGAAGAAGAGCTGCCAGGTCTCTGGCAACAAGTAGAGGAAGAAAGTAAGCGAAGGCTAGTTCTTGAGGACCCTTGATTTTTGTATTTGTTATTTATAAAGTTTGAGCAGATGGTAACAGCTGTACTTGAATTTGTCATCACTTTTTTTGTGTGTGGATTACTTAATGCGACCCAGCTTCACTCAGACTGTACCTCCTGCGGCCCCCGGCTAACTTGAGTTTGAGAACCCTGGTCTAAACAGTTTAAAACAACCAAACTTATTATTAAAGCATAGACCAGGCATGTCAAACACGCATCTGGCGTGCCACATGCGTCGCTCTTCCACCACACCTAGGCAGGGCCGGCCCTAACAATTGCGGCGCCCTATGCGAAACGGATTGCGCGGGGCCCTAGTCTGGGTAGGGATAAGGATAATAAGTGAAAATTAAGATTTTGTATTAGAAAATAAATTCGTCTTTGCATTTTATTCATTCTTTACTAAGTACAAAATCACGATCAAATTAACATTACTTTACGAGCTTTGTGTGTAGCGAATTCATACAGTATGTCATCAAAAGTCTGTTTCCTATATAGATGGCGCTCAATAGCAAGAATTGCCAAATTGTTCAATCTATCTTCGTGAATTGTTGACCTCAAGTAATTCTTGATTAGTTTGAGGCACGAGAAGCTTCTTTCACCAGATGCCACAGTTACGGGGATTGTTAAAAATATTCTGAGTGCAACAAAGTAGTTTAGGAAAGCAGTGTATCTGTCATTAGTGGACAGATAAGCTAAAATTTCTACCGGGTTTAGGCGGTATTTGGTAGAATATGCCTTAAAGATTCCATTTCATCTGCTAATTCTCGCCCACATATATCTACTGATTGGTCTGTTGATGACGTCAATGCTTGCTCGAGGCTCGCTGTAAACATTCGTATGTCATCGAGCTGAAGGCTCTTGAAGCTGACAAGAAACCCAAATAGATTGTGGTTTGATTTCAGCTGTTCAAATCTCGGCTGCAAGGATTGAATTGCGGTGTCCACAATTCTGTTGAAGCAATTTATCCTGTAGTCGTCTTCAGCATTTCCTAGGTGTGAAGTTTTCCACAGATTTATCATTCTGCCTTTTCCTTTTATGTTTGGCTGGAAAGATTGCAACAGCTTCCATGTTTTTAGCCAATTCCTTTGCCGTAACGAGACTCTGAACAAGCCCATCAGCTCTCAGTTTCCTTGGCCGAGTCATCAAGTTGTTGTACGAATTCATTGCAGCGCTCAAATCTACCGTTTCACCTTGCAGTCCTCTACTCACAGTATTGACTTGGAAGAGCACGTCGTACCATAACACAGGTGACGCAAAGAATTTGTACTGCTTCAATGTTTCATACAGAGTTTCTGCTTCACTTTTAACTATCGCATCATCAGTCTCTTCAGCTAATTCATCGAGTGCGTCACAAATCTCAAGCAATTGATGACGAAGTGCTGTGACCCCCATCTATTCTACATTCCCACCTTGTTTCGCACAGAGGTTTTACAGAAACACCCGAGCAGCTATAAATTTTTTTTCAATTTTATTGACTTGTCGTAATCACTTGAAACAACGACGTAATAGATTAAAAAACACTGTAAAAAACATAAAAACAGAATAAACACGCCGGCCTAGACATGTTTATAAGTTATAAGGGTTTCATTTAATCATTTACACCTAGAATTAGCGCGGGCCCTATGAAAGTGCGGGGCCCACTGCGGCCGCATAGGTTGCATTGGCCTAAGGCCGGCCCTGCACATAGGGCCCCGCACAAAGGATATTGTAATTAGGTCGATTAACGGTCTACCTAAATTGCAGTTGTTACAATTTAAACGGAAAAAAAAAGGTTGCTCATCTTCTGAAAACCACTTCTGTGTTACTCTCAGCACCGTTGCAGAGGCAAAAACAACACTTAGAGCAACGTAGTTTGAAGTGGGGGGGCGGGGGGGGGGGCGGCGGACGGACACCTGGTTTCTTTTCCTACCTTCCTGTGAAAACGCCAGAAAGCCTGCCGCACGCATTATGACAATGTTCAGTTCTGATCTGTCAGTGTCAACAGCTATTATGACAATGATCGGTTCTGATCTGTCAGTGTCAACAGCTATTGTGACAATGATCAGTTCTGATCTGTCAGTGTCAACAGCTATTATGACAATGGTCGGTTCTGATCTGTCAGTGTCAACAGCTATTATGACAATGATCGGTTCTGATCTGTGTGTGTCAACAGC